GAGGACAGCGGCTGTATTGATCAAGTGCGCGGAAAACGAGAATAGGCCGGACGGGACCACGTATGCTGGGGTTATGAGGCTCGCGAGGAGCAAGATATCTCTCGATGACCTCAGCATTACAAATACCCGTATCAGGAAGGCTCAAGCGGGGGGTCTCCTGATAGAAATCCCGGGAGGGGAAGAGGCCGGTGCCAAGGCGGAGGCCTTGGTTGATAAACTAAAAGGGGTCCTCGCGGAAAGTGAGTTCAAGGACGGGGTGCAGGTGGTGAGGCCAATGCGTAGGGCCGAAGTCAGATTGGTGGACATCGATCAATCGGTTACCGCGGAGGAGGTGGCCGAGGTGGTGGCCAAAAGCGGTCAGTCGCAAGTGTCGGACATCAGGGTGGGCCCCCTCAGACCCGGAAGGGGTGGCCTGAACGCTGTTTGGGTCCAGTGCCCCCTGATGTACGCTAACAAACTACTAGGTGAAGGACGACTAAGGGTGGGGTGGTGCCCCTGGCAAAGCGGAGGCTTCAGTGCTTCCGCTGCTTTGCCGTGGGGCACACCCGGGCCAATTGCCAGAGCCACATGGACCGCACAACGTGGTGCTTCCAATGTGGGGGTGACGACGGTCACAAGGCCGCTGGATGCCGGAGACCCCCGAAGTGTCCGGTATGCTCGGGGAGAGGGCTCCCTTCGGGGCACCGAGCGGGTGCAAGTGAGTGCGTACCGTTCAACGGACCAGGACGGAGGGACAATGAAGTGGGGGTGAAAGTGGCCGCCAAGAAGGGCGGTGATAATGGAGCTGATCGGGGAGCTCCGACCCCCAGTGAGGGGGCACACGATGCAGAGGCGATGGAGACCTGCGATGGCTAGACTGGCACAAATTAATGTCAATCGGTCTAGACCATCGCAGGACATGGTCGCAAGAGTGAGCAGTGAGCTTGGTGTGGGGCTGGTTGCCATCTCCGAGCCTAACAGGATCCCGGATGATGGACGATGGTTGTCTTCCACGGACAACCCGCCATCAGCTGCCATAACCTGGCAATGGTCGCAGGCCAGAATACCTTGCTCGCCCCTCTGGAGAGGGAAGAGGTTCGCGGCGGTAGACTGGGGGGATACTGTGGTGGTTTCTTGCTACTTTCCTCCCAGCCTCGACGAAGAAGAGTTCCTCAGGGACCTTAGTGAACTGGAAAGAAAGCTGACGGGTGCGTTGGGTCGTCCAATTGTCATCGCGGGCGACTTCAACGCTCGTGCCCTCGCGTGGGACGGGGGCGGCCGAAACAGAAGGGGGGATCTCCTTCTGAACTGGCTAGCCACATTGGACCTGCAGGTCATAAACGAGGGAGCAGAGCCGACCTGTGTGCACCCCCGTGGAACTTCGAGGGTCGACCTGACGATAGCGTCGCCTTCTGCCGCCAGGAAAATATCTGAATGGAGGGTTGCATCGGAGGTGGAATCCTTATCGGACCACCGCTATGTGACGATGAGGTTGGGGACCTCCATCCTGGGCCCAGAGACCGGGAGAGTTGCTCTACGGACGTTCCCGAGATGGATGGCCAGCAGGGTGAACTCTGATTTGATGGAGGCAGTGGCCGTCTTTGCAGCGTGGAGCGAGAGCCCTGGAGACGCCGATGAAGGAGCCCTAAACTTGGATCGGGTAATGCGGGACATATCCGATGCCAGTATGCCGAGAAAAGGACTTCCGAGAAGACCACATGCGTATTGGTGGAACGAGGAGATTTCGGAGCTCCGCCGTTCCTGTAACGCGTGCAGAAGGAGGGTGACACGAACTCGGTCGCGCGCAAACGTGCCTCCTGAGGAGTTGAGGGCCCTCTGGGGCGAACTAAGGACTAATAAACGTAGAGAGTTAAGGGGTGCGATTGCTAGATCTAAGGCCGACTTGTGGAAGGAGTTAG